TGTACATATATTTTTTGAGCATAGCGATTGTACTCTTCAATATTCTTTGGCTCTAATCAGAGAGCATTGCTCTAGGTACCACATATCAACTGTCTTCCTTAAATGACAGAAGAAATTAATTAATAACCTTAGAACATCTAAAATGGAGTGTGAATTGAATTACAATAGGAAGAAAGTATATACATTATTCATGCATAATAATTAGCATGACTGTATACAAGTGTGTGTAATATATATGATGTTATGAAAGGAAAATAAATAGACAAAAGCATAGGCAAAATAATTCTATATTGACAGTGTCTATATTTATGCAGAGCATCTCAAAATGTTATCAAGGCTATTGTATTTGCATTATGATCATTTAAAACATTAAAATTAAATTTTCAATAGGTTGTTGCAAAAGACATAAATTTTATTTCCCAAAACTTCTCTCCTTCTACTGTGTAATTTTACTGGATTCTAAACTCCATCCTGAGACTCTTGTTCTTCAACACACAAACTCAGACGTGCAAGGGAATTCTTTTCATCCACAGATGGAACTCATAGAGCGTGGATCTAGAGCAGGGCCCCTGCAACAGCAACCTGATCCTCTGAGCATATGTGGGGACAGCAGAGTAGGTAGAGCATTCTCTCCTAGGAATACAAACAGATACTAGATACCTGAACTAGTCTTGAAATCTGATAAGGACTGATACCTTGTCAGTTTCTCATCCTCCAATATACCCAGATGTTGTCTGATCACACTGGGCTCTCTTTAGTTAGGGTCGTCTCACAGGGGATTAGCTGGACTCCCTCATGATGCCTCTCCATGAATGAGATGTCCCAGTCAAAAAAATATCCTTCTTTATAATTATCAGCGTGTCACATGAGTAAATAAACCTCTCACATGATTTAGGAGATTTTCAGCAGAGTTTAATGTGTCATCCACACAAAAATAGTACTCATCTGTCATCAAAAAAGCAACAATATCAAGAAGAAAAATCAAAGATTGCAATTTAGTACATTTGTAACAAAACATAATTGAGAAAATGATAGGGAAAAAACGCATTCAGTGTGTGATGAGAAATGCCTGTAATTCCAGCAGTTCAAGAAACTTAAGCTGAGGAAACTGTTCAGCCCAGACACTTCGGGAAACACGATCATCACCAGATGTCCATTTCCCAAGAGCTATGTAGAAAGAATGAATTCCAGTCCCAGCCCAGATCCGGTGAGGGTGCAGAGAGCTTCCTGCTAACCTGTGCCGGTGGGACCAGTCCCAGCCCAGGCGCAGCGTGGGCCGGACCCTCTCCCAGCACCTTGAGCCGCCCCCAACCACTCCGCAGTGCCTCCCTCACCCCGCCCGCCAAGTAGGAATATTTGCCCCGTCCCGAAGCCCCCAGACCCAGTCCTAGACCAGGTCCCGTGAGTGTGTGCAGAGAGCTTCCTCTTCTTCCTACTTCACCTTGTCCGCTCCAGGCACAGCTCAGGCCTGGCATACACAGCTGAGGTGTAATCCTGCAGCTGCAATCCCTGCAGAGGGTGAAGAGGATACATCCAACCAGCTAGTCCAGGAGCAGAACATCTCGCCACACAGGCACAACAGGTTCACACTTAAGGGCAGCAGAGGGAAGGAGCTGAGCACAGCAGGCAGACCCAAGCTAGACACAGCTGGAAAATTCCAAACTTTGTAGAGCTGCACATGAACTTCAGTATGTGCGAAGGTTATAACTACAACAAAGATCTACAACAAAGGGCACAAGACAGTGCTACACAAAATGACGAGAAGGAACAAAATGCAACCTCAGAACCCAAGCCCACTGGTAACAAGTGCAGAGGACACTAACACAAAAAATTGGAAATCACACAGATGAAAGCAATAAATCAACGGCTTCTGAAATAAAGAAACAGCTGCAGAAAGATGTAGAAGACCTCAGATTAGAAATGAAAAAAGAAATCCCTGAATTAATAACATCTGCACTAAAGAATCAAATGCAGAAACAT